GTTTTATGAGATTTGGCTATTTTATGTTCTTTTGACTATTGTTCGAAGTACAAGCAACTTGTTTTCCCTTTGAGTATGGATTTAACTTTTTACATTACCCAGAGTCATTTGTATGTTAGGTAGGGTGAAACTGGTAAATCAATATTACATTCTGACTGGTAATTTGGTGTTGTGTCCCCAAAGCCTTATATTTTAATATACACATTGACAGGACTATTCTACCCATAGTAATTTATTCCAAGCAAATATCCCCAAGTGTTTGCCAATATTTCTTTATGATATTGTTCACTGTAGAGAAGTTTGGATCAGCCTAAATAGAAGGATATTAGAAAAAGGACTTTTGTTATCCATTCAGCATAAATTTTGACATCATTAATGTCACTGTTGTGGAAAATAGCAAATGGTATGGGAGAAACTGTGAAAGGGACACACAAAACAGGATGTGGGCTGAGGGTGATAGTATACACCTGTGATTTTAGCACTTGGGAGTCTGAGGCAAGAGGATCATGTCTTTGAGGTGAACCTGGAATTGCATAGTAGTGAGACCTTATCCAAAGAAACCCCCAAGCATCATAATGTCAAAGGTTGTATGTTCACATACCTGTGAATAGACTTATATACCACATAACGATGTGTTTGCATATATTCAGATGTTAGAATTTATTTTATGGAGGATTTGGGAAACACTTTTTCTTATTTTTTGTACATATTCTACAAGGACTGCATATCACTTTTTGAAGTGGAAAGAAGAAAGGAAGGAAGGAAGGAAGGAAGGAAGGAAGGAAGGAAGGAAGGAAGGAAGGAAGGAAATAAAATACAATATAATTTCAGGAACAAAGTGATTGTAGTTCAACAAGTTTTGGGAAATATTGTATATCTCATATTTAAAATATAGTAGAAAAATCATTTCTTCCATAGATAAAGACCTTAAATAGTTTGTAAGCATTTTTGATGGGATTTCTCACATGGTAGTTTCTGCCTTGTCGCCCCAAGTATATAGGCCCATATCTGTTACTTTTCTTGAACTTGATAGAAAAAGAGTTTCCTCCATCATGGCTCAGGGATACAGTCCATCACAATTGGGAAGGCATTGTTGTTGGGTCATCTATATCTCTGACTGCAGAACCATGCATTTGTGCCTTCCCCAGTGGCAACTAACCAGTCAGAGCCAAGTTATCACCACCAAAGGCTCTCCCCCAGAGTTCCATCCCCTCTTAGACAAGCCTCACATCTTCCCAAGCAGCTGGAAACCAGGTAAAAAAAAGTACATAGCCTGTGGGAAACATTTGAGATCCAAAGCATAACAAGGGCCAAGTTAGAAACTCCACAAGAATACTTAACAATGACATCCAGTTTTTCATGTTGGATTGGCAGGGGAGTCAACTTGAATAAGACCCAAAATACTGTCCCTTCTCTGCCTGGTGCCAGTCGTGATTGCAATGCAGCAGGACTCCCAAAGGTGGATGTATAGATTGTATGAGAACTTGAACCTTTTTATTACAGTAAAAGGAGTAAACTGTATTTTAAAATAACCACTCCCACATCTTTGAATAATTTATAGATATTTGAGTTGCTTGGTTAGATTTTGGTGGGGGAGGTTTAGGAGAAAGATAAATATTGGTAAGAGCTACTGGACTTGAGTGAACTCTGGTTGTATAGGGATTTGTGGCCTCCTAGAACAAAGAGATGCTTGTAACATCCTAACATATTACTGAAACTGCTTCCTAGGACCAACTTTACAAGGCCATCCCAAACTGCTATTCTCAACACTATTTGCATAAAACCTAACTGATGAGTTTTACCCAGTATTGAGCCCTAGGAAACATCAATCCTAGGTATTTCCAATCAAAATAGTCTCTGTGTAGCAGTTCCACATGATTTGTGGACTTGTTTCATAGAATTAAAGATCCATCTCAGAACTTCTTGGCACTAGATAATCAAATTATTTGAGTAGTCTTCGCAGTCGAGAGGCCTCCTGAAACATGAAATAACAATAATTTATCCAGACATTATGTTGAGTAGTTTCATGGTTAATCATTTTTAATTCTGATAAAACTGACATGAAGTTGGCGGTATTATTCTGCCTGTCTTTTGCAGATGAAGCAGTTGCAGCTAATAAAGACTGTGTGTTTATATTGTGAATAATGATGCTGAAAGTCCCACCCATCACATCTGCCTGTAGCAACTGTGATTGTAACTGTTATCCTATGTTTTCTTTATTTGATTTCTGTCATCTGTTCACTATTGACATTATTTTGTGTAATTGAATTGGACTCATCCCTGATAGCTGGCCTTTTCTTCCATGGTGTGTACTCCTGGAGCAAACTGAAGCTAGAAGAATTTGACCTTCTGGAAGATGAAGAATTGCCAGTCAGAAAAAGCATCTTTTGTCCAACTGCTAGCTAATACTGTAGTCTCTGACACGTGGTAATTCTAAGAGTTAATCTCTGAGCTCCTTCGAGCAAGCTACATCATCACATAATTTCTTTTCCTTGCTTCAGCTCCTACTGAACACATGGAGATAGTTTCACTTCCTGGAGCCCATTATCTTGAGAACCATGCCTTCCTCATCAGTCCATCTCTGCCATAACATCTAACAGCATCAGAAAACTGACCATTAGCCTTGAGGATAGCTTGATGTTGAAGTCAACCCTAATTCTACATAGGAGCAAGCTTTGTTAGATATAACATGGCTTAGGGCTTCATAACGATATGGATGATGTCTGTTTTGCTCACTAAGAAGTTCTTACCACCCAGCAAAATATTAAGAACTGAGTAGTTCTTAATGAGCAACGCCGTGACTCATGATTGTGTTATCTCCCAGGAGAAACTCAGTTGTCTGTTCTAGTTAAGCTATTAGGCCCCTAGTAGTGCCTCTAGAGACTACAGAGGCACCCTAATAAAACCAAAAAGTTCTGTGCTCCCCTTAATGACTTTTTTTATTCATTTTACATACTGACCACAGTTCCTCCTGCCTCTCCTCCTCCCACTCCCCTAACCCCTGCTGAGTTCCCCCTACCCTACCCCCATCCACTGTCAGAAAGGGTAAGGCCTCTTGCAGGAGTCAGCAAAGCCTGACATGTCAAGTTGAGGCAGGATCTTACCCCCTCCCCGCATCAAGGCTGAGCAAGGCATCCCACCATATGGAATGGGCTTCAAAAAGCCACCTCATGCACTAGGGATAGATCCTGGTCCCACTGCCAGGGATCCCAGAAATAGAGCAGGCTACAAAACTGTTGCCCACATGTAGAGGGCCTAGGTCAGTTCCATGCAGGCTCACCAACTGTCATGATCTCCGCCCACCCCCAGCCTTGCTCATATAATCCCTCCTCCCTCTCTTCAACTGGACTTCAGTAGATCTGCCTAGTGCTTGTATATAGATTTCTGCATCTGCTTCTATTGGTTACTGAATGAAGGTTCTATGATGACAGTTAGGGTTTACAGGGGAAGAACAGTTTAGGCCTCTTCCCCAGTATTGCTAGGGGTCTTAATTGGGATCATCCTTGTGGATTCCTGGGAATTTCCCTAGCATTATGTTTCTCCCTGGTCCTGTAATGGCTCTCTCTATCTAGATAACTCTTTCCTTGCTCTCTCACCCCATCCCTCCCCCAACTCGACCATCCCATTCCTTCATGTTCTCATCCCCCATCCCCTCCTCTTAACAGCCCCTCACCCCCAGCTTGCCCAGGAGATCTCATCTATTTCCCTTACCCAGGGCAATCTATGTGTCATGTCTCCGATCAACATAATAAAAATGGCAGTCTTACCAAAAGTAATTTAGAGATTCAATGCAACCCCCATCAAAATCCTAACACAATTATTCACAGACCTTGAAAGAATAATATGCAATTTCATATGGAAAAACAGAAAAACCTACGATAGCCAAAACAATCCTATACAAGAAAGGAACTTCCAGAGGCATCACCATCCCTGACTTCAAGCTCTACTATAGAGCCATAGTAATGAAGACAGCTTGGTATTGGCATAAAAACAAACACATAGACCAATGGAATCAAATTGAAAACCCTGATATTGATCCACACTTGTAAAAAGTCATTCTGTACCTCTTCATGGGAAAGCACAGGGGTTAATGCTCACACCTTGTCCTGACTAGAGGAGGCACTTAGGACATTGGATGACCAAATAATGGTGATCACACTTTAGCAATGAAGACATTCCTCACATCAAGGAGTGTTCCACCACTAGCCCAACAAGGGATGCTTTCTTAGATAAAGCTTGTACAACCTTCGTTTTCTATAAACCATCTCTGGGATTTACTGTGGATCTTGATACTGATTTTGTTCAATGGATTGATATTTGGAATCTTCTCCTGATAGATTTGTGCCATTCTCAGACTATTTAATGGGATTTCTAGTTGTGGTGGTTTTGAATAAGAATGGACCCCACAGGCTCATAAATTTGAATGCTTAGTCACCAGGAAATGGAACTGTTTCTAAGGACTAGGAGGTGTGGCCTTGATGACAAAGGTGTGGCCTTGTTGGAGGAAGCATGTCATTGGGGGTGGGCTTTAAGGTTTTAAAAGCCCATGCCAGGCCAGTCTCTTTCTGCCTACAGACCAGGATGTATTCTCAGCTATTTCACCACCACCATGTCTGCCTGTGTGCCACAACCTCTGAAACAATAAGCAAGCCCCCGATTAAATGCTTTCTTTGCAGTAGTCTCCTTGATCATGGTGTCTCTTAACAGCAATAGAAGAGTGACTAAGACATTGTTGTTTTATAACTTACAGCTTTACTTTCCAGATAAACTGAGTTCTATTTCATTGTGTAATGTGTGCTTAGATTTTATTCTTACACAGATGTCTTCATGCTACACATAGGACAAAGGATATATCCTGTTTGATTGATCTCTCTTATGTCTGTCCTGAGGATAATTTGTAGATAAATTGTTAGTAAATATCAAGTTCATTTTCACTTCAAACATAGACACTGGCACATATATCCGGTACTAAATAATCCTGTCTTTTTTTATTTTCCCAGGCAAGAAAACTGATCAGTGACTTTGCCATTATCTTGTCCATCCTTGTGTTCTGTGTAATAGATGCCCTAGTAGGTGTGGACACTCCAAAACTAATTGTGCCAAGCGAGTTCAAGGTGAGTGAATGTCTCTCTTTTGCTTGTTCCTCAAACCCCTTGACTTTCTTTCTTTTTATCTAATGTAGTTTATTGTGAATTTACTTCAGTTAATTTTACATAATTAGCCTTTTCCCCATCAAAATAATCCCTTATTAGGCTCATTTATAATTAGTCTAAATTTATAATTTAGTTTCTTCACTAAAATTAAATGCCACAGTTAGGATCAAATTCAGGATTTGTGCTTTATTGACTTTCATTTTAAAATAGCACATAACATGAACTAACCTCAGCATTATATATTTTAGTATATTTCAGATACTTTTACAGATCCAGTCAGCCTGATTCATGAGGCGGTTTTGAGAAGTGCATATATAGCTATCATCATGTCTGTTTTATAAACCAGTAATGCTCACTAACACTAAGCAAATGCCCATCACTTCTTCAGTAGTGGGGACAAGCTGTGAAGGTAGAATTCAAGCCTTCACGTTCTAACTTAGGTGGTCTTTCCCTCCTACCAAACTTCCAGGAACACTTATAATATGAAGCTTAATTATTATAAATAAAACAGAAGAATTATCTATTTTCTGGATTCTCTCTTTCTCCCTCCCTCTCTCTCTCTCCCTCCCCCCCCCCGTGTGTGTGTGTGATATAAAATATAGTTATACTTCTATGTAGTTTTCCATTGCAAAATTTTAACCTATTTTCTGAAACAATGCTTAGTCTGTTTTCGCTCCTACTGAGATAATAATGTCAAACATTATTAAGCTGATGGCAGTTATATATAACTAGTTGATGAGAAAGGGATATGAATGCATACATGCACATACATGACATTAGCAAAGACAAATTCTAGTTAATTTAATAAGTATTTTCTAAATGTTTGCCTGGAGCTCGACTCCATCCTGGGAGGTTGAAATTCTTTAATAAGCAAGATGAAATGTCTTGCCTTACACATTCACAATGTGTGGTACAGGTAATGAGAAGATGGATTTTTTTTTCCATGATGGAGTTTTGAATAAAAGGAGAGGGAACATGCATCCACGATTTGTGTTTATAGCTATAAGTCTGGCACTCAGGAGACTGAGACAGGAGGATTGCTGTAAGTTCAAGGTCAGTCTGTGTTACATTGGTGATTCCAGGCCAACCTGGGCTGTAGAATAAGACCCTGTTGAAAAATAAAAAATTAAAAAGGAGAAGGAGGAGGAGGAGGAAGAAGAAAGGAAGGAAGGGCAAAAAGGAGAAATTCAAGAGTAGTATGTGTACATTTATATGCTTTTCTTAAAGTAGGAAATAACAGAAAATTTGCTTTCTGTAAAAGGCATATATGACCAACTGAAAGTGAGAAATGAGAACTTTTTCTGGTTTTCGAAACAGTTCTGAGGATTTAATCTCTTCTGGATAATTTTCACTTATAAGAGGTACAAATGTTTCAATTAGTTATACCATGTAAAATACTTTTTTGTATGTTATGAAGCCATTTATTTGGCAGAAGTAGAAACAGCTTCTGTCCAGTGCTAAAATTCAAGCAGAATTTGTGATGGCTTTGTAATTTTTTGGTAACTCTTTATAGAATATTACATTTGGGGTTTTCTTCTGTGTCTCTTAGATTTTTTTGTTTGTTTGTTTTCCATGTAATTCCTTATCTCAGCTAATTTCATGCATTCAAAATGTCACCCCCTGCTTTCCCAATAGCTCATCCCTTCCCTTCCCCTCCCCCTTTCCCTTCCCCTCCTCTCCCCTCCTTTCCTTTCCTTTTCTTTCGGGATAGCTTCAAAAATAACACCCTTTAGTAAGACTTCTCTTAAATAATCTTTTCCTCCAGACTATAACTGTTTCTACTTTTTAGAATGTTGACCCTCCAAAACTTGAATATTGTTTTTAACCACATAGTATATATTAACATTGTTCTGAAAAAGTTTTATTTCTTTGCTTCTAGCCAACAAGTCCTAACCGGGGTTGGTTTGTCCCACCATTTGGAGGAAACCCCTGGTGGGTGTGCCTTGCTGCTGCTATCCCGGCTTTGTTAGTCACCATTCTGATTTTCATGGACCAGCAAATTACAGCTGTGATTGTAAACAGGAAAGAACATAAGCTCAAGGTAACTGCTCATAAAAATGATAACCATTGCCTTCTACTGTCTTCCTAGTTCTTGATAATATCATTGATTCAAAACCCAAGTAAACTTTGTTGAGAGTTACAGTATAATGAAAAGTCATACAAAGATCAGTTAGTGTTCACAAGGTCCTTAGTGTGATGTCTCAGGAAGAAATCACTTAAATATGAGGAAGATGTTTCAATGTCTGTTTCTCTCACTATCTATGCACCAGCTTTCCCACTTCTGATTTGGATATAGTAACCACCTTCCTAAAGACATTGTATCCAAGATTTAATTAAAACACCTGCTCTCTGTTAAATAAACTCAGATTTTTTTCCTTTCCAAGAAGTTTTTAGGGGATAGGAAGTGGATAGCTAGGTGATAATGACCAGATCAGGTCAGAATAATTGGCATTTTCATCTCTTTAATCACACCAATTCTTAGTGCTGGGGGATGAGCAAAGATTTATTATTAAAGATTTGTCAGGGGCTGGAGAGATAGCTCAGCAGTTAAGAGCACTAATTGCTCTTCCAGAAGACCTGGGTTCAAATCCCAGCACCCACATGCAACTCTACACTGTAACTCCAAGATCTGACACTCTCACACAAATGCACTTGCAGCCAAACCACAAATGCATATAAAATAAAAATAAATCAATATTTTTAAAAAGATTTTTCAGATAACCAGTTACAAGCTGTTGGTACGCATTCACAACCCCACCCTACTCCCTTTCCTTAAAAGGTTCACCTCACGATATTATAGACCATAAGGTATAGAGCAAAGTTTTTATTCTTATATTTTAGGGTTTGCAAACATAGGTTTAATGAATGGCATCATTGTGAGCCAAGAGAAAATGTTTTAGTTGTATGGAGTATCTTTCAAGAGAGCTGCCTAAATTGTTAATATATTAGGTAAATTTTCTCCATGTCTAATAATATTTTAGGTCACAAATAATTTCAAAAATGCCATGGAGAGGATGAGAGAAGGCTAATAAAAGTAAAAAGAGTTAGAAACTTAATGGCTACTGACCATGAAGCAGGTCATTTTCTAAGTACTTTATATTATATATTAACTCATTATCTTTTCACAATCACCATATAAGAGGAGCATGAAAATGTATTATAATCATACCCAGAAACAGGAAAGTATATCACCAGGATGAATTTAGCAAAGGGGGAATGGTGGAAGGAAACCTCCAGAGAGAGTAAAAGCATTTGAAATATACCAGGCAGATGGATATGAGAGATGATAAACCATTCAGTTAGAACTGCCGATGAGGGTGAGGAAGAAGTAAATACCACAACTCAAACTGGGGATAGAAGAAAATTGAAGATTTCATTAAAGAGGACATGTTTCCGTTTTGAAGGTTTTGGGGGAAAGAACGTAGTTGATGAACTCCACGCAGTCTGTCCACCATTCCTGAAGTGGTCTGGGAAGGTGGGGGTAAGGACTCTACTGGAAAGCCTAGCCTATGAGGTTGAGGTTGTTGACTTCTTTGACACAAAGGTTGGTCAAGAGAACAGCTCCCTGTACAGTTGCTGAAACCCTAAGGGAAATAGTGAGATGGGGTGCAGTGGTTTCCTGTCATGTTCAGTGAGGTGAACCGGTAGAATGAAGACTCACTTGTATTTCAAAAGAAGGAAAACTATGAGAGCATGAGAATTACTGATGTATATTCCCAAGGAATGCTGGAAGTCAGAAAGCAGAATTTTACAGAACAAAAACTTGAGCTGGTCACTGATATAAAATAAGGCACTGATTTTGAATTATCATTGGGGGAACAGTTGAGTATTCAGTTGGAAACTCCCATTAACATAACTCTATATGTATTGTACACCATGAATACATTTTCAATTTGAAGATGGCTGTCTAACTGCTAATGTGTTTATGCCTTCCTCCCACAACAGAACTGCAGCCTGTTTTTCAGGCTTTTATTGAACACTATACAATATCCGACTCTGAGTCTCATAGCCTAATCTGTTAATACTTAAGGGGCATAATAAGGGCAGGTCTTCACTGTTGCCATCTTGGTTTGATTTATGTGTATATATGGGTGCCTGTCTGAGTGAGTGTCACATGTGTGGGTGCCAGCAGAACTCAAAGGAGAGAGCATTGGATCCCCGGAGCTGAAATTACAGGCAGTTATGGGCCACTTGGGTCATCTGGAAGAGGAGGGGGAGATGATCTTAACCACTGAGCCATCTCCCCAGACACTCAAAACTTGTTTCTAAAATCTGATGTTACTGAAGTTCATTAAATTCTTCTCTGCCTAAACAATTCACTTGTTAAAAGTTGGGGTCAGAAGCAAGGAGATAGCATGTTTTTGTTGTTGTGGTGGTGGTGGTTTTTCGAGACAGGGTTTCTCTGTGTAGCTCTGGAGCCTGTCCTGGCACTTGCTCTGGAGACCAGGCTGGCCTCGAACTCACAGAGATCCACCTGCCTCTGCCTCCCGAGTGCTGGGATTAAAGGCATGAGCCACCAATGCCCAGCGAGATAGCATGTTTTATGAAAAACTTTACAACTGGATTTTATAACAAGACTATCACAAGAGTTTAAGTACCTTTGACTAGAAACCAACGAAATGTGCTTTATTAATCTTCTTAAAATGTCTTTGCAGAAATATTAGAAGAAATCATATGAACATGCAGGCATGTTCTAGTCTCTGATAGCACTACATACAGTCATTTAATTAATAACATTAATTTTTGTATTGTGAAATGCATCATAGTTGCCCTCAGCTGTATAGCAAATTAGAGGTCAGCCTTGACTTCAAAAGTCAAGTAAACAATTTATGTTATTCTAGAGGAGCTTTTATTTGCTTTAGGAAGGCATTTGGTCATGTTATCAACATGAGAATAATCTTCCAGGCTTATCCTTAAAAAATCTATTAATTACTATGGAAATCTATTTATTACTATGGGAAGTTTCTTTAAATGGTCCCTGAATTCATAAACTTGCATATAGATTGTATATTATAAGTAGATCATTTGTGATATATATGTATGTGTGTATTTATATATATGTATATATATACATATATATAAAATTTATCTGATTATCTATCCATCCCTCTCTGTCCATTCATCCTTAATATATGCATACAGATACACATACACAAGAGAGGAAAGGTCAAAAGAATAAAGCCTCAACCACTATAAACTCTACTTTTCACTTGGGCTTTGCCAAGCCATATAGGTAATGTGTATTCCAGTCACAAATTCAATTGCAGGTTGTAGGTTTATACTTAAGAATGTCCTTGGAGATTCTTTTTCATCTGGCATTATACTCATTGGCATGGCTGAGATGCATAGCTCCCCATTGACTCTTTTTAGTATTAGGAGGGGTCTGAGTGGTAATTTACTTTATGGAAAGGCTAAACATAGACTTGGACTAACGCATTTTTAATCTGAAAATATTTGATCCCACTTTAAATTTTAATTTGCCTATGTACAAATTTTGGAGGTGAGTTTCTATTATTGTAATGCTCATCAGATTTTCTTATTGATAATTTAGAATTAAATATATTTAGGATTGATAAAATAGACAAGCTTTTTATTTCCCTATATCTCTTAGGAAACATTAGAAACTTGAAAATATGTTTGCCCTTAAAATGAGACATGTATCTACAAAAATGAGTTTCTGACCCTTTTAGGATTGTTTACTGGAAACTATTCTTTTTCATAATGGTGCTAATGGTATAGATGCCAGTCATTTGTCACAAATCCAACACCACCGGTTGACATTTTCATCATGAATGAAATGCTTTTGTTCTCATTTTTCTGGGAAATGAGAGTTGTGGAATGCACAAATTGGAGATTCTGCTTAAAATTGTAAAAGACACTAAATGCTGTGAACTTGATTCAAAAGGAAAACTTGAGGCAGCAAGAGAAATGGGGGCACCGCAGTGTTGGAAGTAGCATGCTTGGGCTGGCATTTGCTTTGGTTCTGTGTCAAGTGGCTCTGGCTGTCTGTCCTGCTGAGATGACATCCACTCCAGTGAACAACCCCACACTGAGATAGCAACACCAAGACTCTTGACTGTTTGGACCCATTTTGGCTAATTATGCCCTTCATCCTACCTGCAGAGTACTCAGAAGCAAACTAGGTCCAGCAAGGGCAAGTACTTCTCTGGGGTCATTTCCTGAGTCATTGTCAGAGGCCGGAGCAGAGCCAGCTTCAGACCACAAAGCCAGGAATATTCTTCCCCAAAACAGTGACTTCAAGAGTTGTGTGTAGGAGGCAGAAATCATTTAGGACCATTACCTAGAGATACCTGTCATGTAATCCTGACAATCACTTTCTTATGACATACTTTGTGGCGAAGTACTTCATTTAAATATGATGTTTTCATGGTTTATTTTTAATTAAAAAAATAACTCTTAAACTTTACCTTGCTCTATAATTTTTGTTTCTGCCCCTTTTCTCACAAAGCTAGCGCTCCTATTTCAATCTAGGCTTTGTAATAGCTTAGCCAGTAAAGCATTGTAACCAACTTTCCTCACTTCTTTAAACACATTTTTTTGTTGTTGTTTGTAAAGTGACGATCTTACACATTGGTCCTACGTCTAAAGCACCTTAACCATCTCAACTTTTCCCTCTTGCCTATCTGTTTCTCCCAGCCTGACAGTTAAAGAACCTTGTAAAACAATGTCAACCTAGATTTAAGATGCTTTGTTGCCAGTGCCAGCCAGTTCTCTGCCTAAATGGCTTTGGGTTCTTGATTCTTACAGTTGTGCTGGTGCTGTGGCCTGGAAGATCTATTCCTCACTCCCCAGTCATCACTGTTCACCAAAAGCAGCTCCATCCTTTAAGCATTTCTAAATATAAAGTCCCTAGTGTCACCTTCCTTCACCCCTAATGTAATTTTTATTGCCCTTGCTTTTTGTTTTTTCTTAGTGATTTATATTATTCGGTGCCAGTGGTCACATGATAGCTCATACAGTGCTTTGGGCAATTACTTCATCCCTATTTCTTAGCCAAAATATTTTTCAAAGTAAGCCCCATGGTTTATTCTTCTCACCAGCTTTTATGTGGCCCGCCACAATTCCATATTAGCCTCAATAAACACATGAAACTGAAATGCTTTATTATCTTGGTAACATGGTTCTCAGGTTTACAACACTGTGAGAGATGATAACTGAAGAATATGCAAGCCCATCCCCATTTCCTCAGAATGGCTGATTACATGGTTTAAGGCCATATATAGATGAGACACACTGAAACACTTCGTTCTCAGTGTTTTTAGTATCTTTTCAAAACTTATGTGATTTTCTATTTAGAGTCCATTTTAATTTTCATGCAAACCCATGCCCTCTCCTCCATCTCATCTGAAACCTCTTGGTGCGGCATTCCCAAAGTGGGACCCAACTCCTATACATCCCTAGCATGATGAACTCTTGCCCCATGTTCGTATATCCTCCCAGGTCTTCCTTTATTGTCATCCTGTACCACATGTAAACGTGAGGTTTTTAGCCTTTTTCTATCTTTTATATTTTGATTTTTGTGGACTTTGCCCTAAGTCATTTTTTGTTCTGTAATAGTGAGGGATATGCAGTTTCAAAGAGACAGTTTCTGTTTTGTGCTTAAATTACTTTGCAGTTTCAGAATATAGAATATCCTTTGGGTTTATAGTCATGAAGTCAAGGACATTTTAGATTGCTTCTTATATACCGAACACTTATGCTGAATGCTGAAGGTACAACTGTTTTAACATTCGGTCTCTTCCTGGCAAGGTTAGCGCTCACCCATCTTACTGTGTGCCGTGTATCCTGCATGCATCTCATCACTTGTTTGTGTGCCTTACCTCAGCTAGTCACCTGCATTCTCTGTACGAATGGGTGTTTGTCTTACCCATTGTTTAACTGAACACAGGCCCTGGTACAGACTAAGTCTTCAGTGAATGTTTATTCAATAATAGTTTACCACACAAAAGCCCCCGAGAGAGAAGGAACCTGTTGTATCAAGAGGTAGAGAGCAGGCCAACAGAACAAGTGACTCAAGTTGAGTGCAAAGGGAGTAGGCTCAGATCACACAGCACATGGTTTGTCAACTTCAGCATTTGTGCCAGGTTGAACGATGTAGTTGGCAGTGGCTGTTCTATGTACTGATAGTTATTTGTCAATATGTCTGGGCTTTATCCAGGGTGGCCAGTTGTACTTCTTCTCCCAAGTTGTTATGCTCAAAAATATCTCCAGATACTGCTAGGCGTTGGCCAGAGTGTGGAGTGGCCAATAATTATAGAAATAAATGTCCGTGTATATCCTTTAAGATAGTTTTATACTCTTTAGTTTCCATTAGTATTGTATTATAAGTGAAAACTGGAAACCACTGAAATATTTTGATCAGAGAAGTGTCACATATTGATTAAGATATTTAACAATCAGCCTGTGAAGAGAGCAAGAGTAACATCCTGTGGTGATGGCTGCCTTGGGGACTGAAGGATGCTGGTCTATGTGAATTGAATTGAGATCAGAAGGGAGAGGATGGACTTTAACCTATGATAAGTTGGGTGATAGAATATTTGAACAATTTTATTTGAAACCCTCATGGTTGCAGCAGTAAAGAGGGATAGGAGAATTGGGTGAAATGGGGCTACTATATAATCCAAGAAAGTCTAGAAAAGCCAGTAGCAATGCTGAGGGTGAGGGGTGGGGTGGGGTAAGGAGCAGATAAGTTTTATGCTATTTTTTAATATTTCTGTTTCTGGTCCTTCTTACAGTTTTTAGATAAGGATTGCCAGAATTTGCGCATGATTTTATTTCCACTCAAACTGAGCCATTCAGATGCTTCTAGCTAAGGCAGGCCTTTGGGAGAGGCTTGTTTCCATGCATATCTGAGCTGATTCATAGGAATAGCTTCTCTAAGGCAAGTGTTGGCATCTGGAGAGTTTATAGCAGTAGCTTGGGGCAAAGCTTTTACCATCTTTTCAATATTGTGTCTCTAGTCTTTAGTGCATGTACGACATTGACCTTAAACATACTAAGTCTTGAATGTTAGTAAGCCTTGCATGTTGACATTTGAAAAATAAATTCATTGAGCTTTTTTATCTTTGGACTCGGTGTCTTTAAACTACCAGGAAAAAATGAAAGGCAGTTTTAGTCTTCAATAAGTAAGACTGAGTCAAGGAGAAGAGTAGAATGTTAACATGTTAAGGTAGATGTTAACATGAAGAGTGACACACATGACATTAATGAGGGAAATACACTGAAGGATTCTCATGTGGCTGAGTATGGTGTTGGTGTAGAATTCAGGGGGGATGGGGCAGGAAAGATGGAACTGTAGACATTGGTCCTTCTACCAAAGGCCAGATCCAAATGGCCCTGCAGCAGCATCATAGACATAAAGACTGATAGGGGAGGACAACTCTCAGTATACAATTAGAATCCAACTGCCTCTGTTTTCATAACCATAATCTCCTAAAGGAACTGTGTCATCTGCCTCTTAACTGGCCCTGCTGTCCTTGATCCTATTCGATTTGCTCATAACACAGTAGCCACACTGCTTAGAACATAGAAATCAGATCACTTTATTATTGAAAGTCCTCTAGTGGTATCCCATCTTATACCTGATGCAAACCCAAGTTATTCTGGTTCCTCTTAGGACTTACTACCAACTAAGATGCTTTCAAAATGTATGTTGTTCATTACTGTCTCACGCAGTAGGAGAGAAACTCCTTGAGAGTATTCTTTTTGTTTATTCAGACGTGTCAGCAGCAGCTGGAATCATGCCTGGTACTAAGTTGTCAGGCAATTATTTGTTGAGAAAATGAATGATTGAGATCTCAAACATATCATGAGACTTACTTCTCTGGTCATTGTAGAATACATTTATGGCATCCCACCCCATATTTGCCTCCTTCTGCCTTATTTTCAAATCACACAATTATGTATCCCTAAGGTGAACCGATTTCATATATGTATAGCATTTGTCTCCTGAGCGGATGTCTGTTCCCGTTCAAACCTGGCTTTATGAGAAAATGCCTTTGCTTCTATGTCAGCTCTCTTGTCTGCTATGCATTCTCTGGGAATATCGACCTTGTGTGCAAGTCATGAGTAAACTCTTGGCAATTCTGTGAGGGAAGAGCAGTGTTCTGACAAACTGTAACAGGATCCAAATGATAACACACCCTGGGTTGCTGGTGTAACTCACATACATCCCCTCTCTCCAAGGTCAGCCTCTCTATTCTCTTGGATCAACCATAGTATGGCTCTAGGTGCTGCTCCCCTCATGCTGTGAGAACGGGCAGCTCTAGTTTCCTTGGCTCCACAGGGGTATCAGCCTTTGATTTCTTCATAAATAGAACAGAGAAATATAACCACAGAAAAACACTAGGGACATGATGAACAGTATTTATTTAGTGATTAAAGGAGCTAGAACTTTTGTTGCATTGTCTGCTCGTCCAGTCAGTAAATGTTATTGTGACCACAGGGTGGTGTTTGAAATCAGTCTATTTTGTTTAAGGGAGTATTCTTTACTTTAATGATGGTGGCTAGTAAGTGGTTAAACAGCTATTCTCATTGGCTATGAGAAGTAAGAGACGATCATGTACATGCCATCTCAGAATTGTTTAGGGGATCGGAACATACACCTAATAGCATCACAAGCAGCTTTCTGTAAACACTGTCACACAGAGAAGATGGTCTGTTGCTTTGTAAGCACCAGTCATGATACCTTAATAGCCACTATCACTCTGACCACCGCCTCCCTGGATGATCACAAATTATATAACATCTACACCCTTGTAAGTTGCTACAAAGTCCCAGTAACTCCAATAAGGCCTGTATTTTCACGGAGGGTGTGGGGGTTATAAAACTGGACTCAGAAAGGTTAGTTTATAATAAGTAGATACTAAGAGAAGTGGACATGCGTCTAATTAATTATTCAGAATTAGAGTAGTATCTGCGCAGGTTCTGGAGGAGATGACTTTGTGTTTACCACTGGAGGAGTATTATGAGGAAGGGAAAGTCCCTCCTCAAAGTGCTTCCTTATGAGGCAAAGCAGAACAAGTTCCTTTTGTTCATCATAATTCCAGTGCCTGACAACAGCTAGAGGACAAGTGTGGGTGCTTACTGTACATGTGCTGTGACTTCTTTCTGCAGAAGGGAGCTGGGTATCACCTGGACCTGTTTTGGGTTGCCATCCTCATGGTGGTGTGTTCCTTCATGGCTCTTCCCTGGTATGTGGCTGCTACTGTCATCTCCATTGCTCACATCGACAGTCTGAAGATGGAGACAGAGACTTCTGCACCTGGAGAACAACCAAAGTTTCTAGGAGTGAGGTATGCTGTCATGGGATAATGGCGCTATAAAGTCCATGTGTCCACATCTTTGTATCAATCATATGGAGGTGGATACAATCTGGGGATGAGAGGGATGGTGGGAGTTACTTTATTACTAAATTCTCTTTCCCAGAAAGGTCATTGTTTGTTTATTTGCTTTTTTGTTTTTTGACCCTGGCTGTACTGCTCCCTGTAGATCAGACTGCCCTCAAACTCAAAGGTCTGCTTGCCTCTCCCTCCTGAGTACTGGGATTAAAGACGTGCATCACCACCACCTTGCCAGAAAGGACTATTTTAGTGAAAAGGATAACTAGTAGCTTTTAGTTTACTCCTTATAGTATTACATTTTCTAGAATATTAAGGGAGACAACATGAAGACATGATTTATTTTCTTCAATATACAGCTGAGTTCTGTAGAAGTGCCGTACCTCAGTCATGTGCAGAGCTCTGAACCCTTAAGTTGGCCATGGTTTCTAGCATTCTATGAAGGAGGTAGGAATTCTCATTTTCCAACCCATTTCTGTCCCCATAAAAACTTGAGAAACTATAACCTTCAAAAATTAGAGTAGTTGTGGAGGTTAGTAGTTAGCCTTTGTACACTCTTGTTTGGTTTTTTTTGTTTTTTGTGGTAGCAAGCTTTGCTCACAAGAGCTAGGGTGCATAGCTCACACACAGAGCCATCATTTCCCATGCCTCAACAGTGGGTGACTTTTTCTTGGGGGTGAAGGGATGTTGGACGTGTATCATATTTGTTAAAAAAGTACTTCTGTTGTTGCAGATTTGGAAATTAGACTGTTGAGATTTATTGCACTCATGAGATTTCCCTGAGCTGTTTGTTAATTAGAATGTGGGACAATGTAATATCTGTCTCCCGTGAAAGAAGGTATAATTACACAACAGCACAAGTTGTTTGAAAAATAAGGGCTTCAAAGAAGCCAGTAATTGATGGGCCAAGAGCAAGTGATTTTTCTTTCTTGGTTCTGAAAGGAGCAAAAGCATTAGAAGAATCACTTATTGTCTTCATGAGTTCAATAGTTTTAATATTTTTAAGTTCACACTTATATTGAATTTGTATGATATTCTTGAGATCTGAAGTGTATGGAATCACTATCTTTGAGGCTTTAGCCCAATACTGACTTGACCTTTCTCTGAAGGTCTTTGAGAATTGGAGGTAGATTGATGATCTTTGATTTTGTTTCAGGGAACAAAGAGTCACTGGAACCCTTGTATTTATTCTGACTGGCCTGTCCGTCTTCATGGCTCCCATCTTGAAGGTAAGTCCATAAAACATTCACTCTTTCTCTTCCATGGAACACCAACTAACAACCAGACACATGAGTGTGAAATGCTTGCAAGATTTCATAGCACATGGAAGTCTGGGCCAATTGGAAAAAGGACTTTAAAAATATATGCCTTGATTTTCCCCTCTGCCCTGTTTTCCTTCCTTTACTGTTATTTTTGTGGTTTCTTGTTGGAACCATCTGACATTACCAATATTGAAACCTCTTGTGACGTATAGAAGGGCAGTGTCATACATGCCCATCTCATTGGTCTTCCTCCCTGCCCCTCACGTGCTTTATACTCCGTTTATCTTCTGTCTATCCTGTCCACTTGCCTGTCCCTAAGCCCTGCCCCTTGCCACCTAAGCCCTGCCCCGTGTCAGACCTCCACAGAACTCTAGTGATCCACATGGTCATTGTGAATTGCTTTCTACTATTTTTAATTATAACCACATTTCTGTTTTTCCTTGAATCAAAAGGCCTGTTAGTCCTAAGGAAGAAATGAGAATAAAATGACTGATGTATAATTGGAAAACTTTAGAGATGAACTTTTGAAGAATCATTGCCTGGTAGAATATTTCGATGGTTGGAAATCAACATATGGGTTGATTGATGAAGTGGGCATAGACAGAGCAACATACATACAATGGCCCCATTAGGAAAAAGAACTAAAGAAGAAAGCTAATGTTTTTTGTTCCTGAAGCTTCCTGTTTTTGTGATACAAGCTAGCTTCTCTCTCCCCCTTTTGTATTATAAAAACATCCCTAAGCAATTATTGATTATTTGCATCTTCTACTTTGTGCTACTGTGTAAAAAGTACCAACTTCCCCAGACCTAACAACTAGGAGCAATGGCTTACCATTTTGCCAACTGAAAAAATTTATTTTTGAACAGTTTAATTTTTAAGACTTTTGGATGCTTGTTTGGTTGTACAAGTAATGGAATGATAGTACATGATTCTAAAATAATTCAAGTGATGTTCAAGTATGACAGTTAGCAGCAGAAGCTCTCTCTCCTTCTCTCAGATTAGCAAGTTTCCATCAGTGGCCAGTCAAAGAATTTCAGAGGAGGGAGCTACAATATCCAGATCTGGAGACCAACTTTGCTTTCCAAGTACTAGACTCATGCATACTTTTGGTATGGGATAATTGCTAAATAGTTAAAATACTTGATTATGCACCATTTATCCTTTGTTTCCATAGTTTCCATATTCTCGTTAACTTCTGAACAGAGTCATGAAGGACTGTGTATATCGTGTGACCCACAGAGGAACTGAGGTTAAAGATGGTGTCAGAGAAATTATTTCTGGCCTATGTCATAGGGACAGAGGAAAATCCGTGGTCAGGAGGTGGCTTTAAAGGATTAGTGCACCGGTTCCCAACCTGTGGGTTATATCCCCTTTAGAGTCAAATGATTCTTTCTTGGTCACCTAAGACAATCGGAAAATATAGATATTTACATTACATTCATAATAATAGCAAACTTATGGTTATAAAGTAGTAATGAAATAATTTTATGGTTGGGGGTCACCAAGCATGAGGAACTGTATTAAAGGGTCATAGCATTAGATAGGTTGAGAACCACTCGGTTGATGAGTTTGAAACATTGTACCTTCTGCCAAGGGCTTTAGCTGCTTCTGTCCCCCTGGCAGGTCCTAGCGTATGATGCTGGCAGACATGCTTAGACACCTTTACTCATGCAGTGAGCTCACATTTGCAGAGTGGGTGGTTAAGACCCTGTAGAAAGCACCCACCCCCTGCAGTGGGCTAATGCAGTGCACTGCTCCAGGGCAGCCTTGCCTTTCCATTGAGGGAAAAACAGGCAGGCAGAAATCCTTTCAGTTTTCAGATTTGCTCACCATCACCCAAGCCTCCATTTTGTCTTGTATATTTTTTTTCATTAAAACATGATTTTTTTTCATTAAAACAGTATAAAATCCTGCTTCAGAAATGGCAGTTGTATTTCAAACTCCCATGTTTTTGTTACAGAAAATTTGGTTTTAATCATGGGGGAAAAACTTCCAGTAGGTTCCGAAAACAAAATCAAAACAAAAAACAAACGTTTACCTTTAGAAAGACTGACAAAACTCATAGCTGATACCTAGGTCTTCCTAATTATTTCTTACTCTGTACCCCAGAAGAGCTGCAAAGAAGCTAAACTGAAAACCTTAGGTTTTTACAGTGGACCTTTTTACCCCATATGTATAAGAAGTACCTTAGTGTGTACAGGGAGAGGTGAGAGCTCATTAACAAGAGACTGAGAGTTCCAGGGAACCACCAGCCAAATTTGCACTCCCCTTTGGCCATCCTGGCCAGCCCATGCCTTGGCTTGCTTTACTGGGCTGCTAGTATCCTCATTGTGGCTGTTTCTGTCTGGCAACTTTGATTCATCTGAAGAGTCATTGTAGTGGGAAAAACTTTTTCAAGATAGTTTTTCTGTGTAGCCTTGGCTGTCCTGGAAACTCACTCTGTAGACCAGGCTGGCCTCAAACACAGAGATTCTCCTACCTCTGCTTCCTGAGTGCTGGGATTAAAGGTATGCGCCACCAGCTTCAGCTGGGGTTTTCTCAAATGTAGAAATAGAATTGTTTTGCCAGACTAGCTTGCGATAGACTGTGGAACACCTGATGTTAAGGCAGCAGGGATGAAGCAGCCTTTCTTCAGGACCTCTGTTCCTCACCTGAGCGAGTTTCTCACTTCGGGAATCACATCTCCCGATAAGATAAGGATGGCTATCTCAGATCACCTGCCCTTCTCACCACTGATGCCTGGCAAGTTATGTGAATCTATCAGAGATGCCTCGTTAGCATTTACAAAGTCAATACAGGAGAAGCAGATGTTAAGGGTACAGTTTAACTGAAATGTCAGCCATTTCGAAGGAAAGAGTACAATTAATAATTAACCTCAAAATTCATGCAGAAAGTGGTGTCACGGGTTGTCCTCCCATGTGACTTTTTTTTTTTTTTTATTTTAAGCAGCAGGTGATAACTTCAGGTAATAGTTTTACTTAAGATTTTGCCTTTGAAAGTTAGATCAAATGTATGGGAAATAGAGTTATATGAGAGTATTTTAAAAAATGAAATGGTTCACCACCTTCCCTGCCAAACTCCTTTTTCTCCTTACAAATTTAATGGTCTGAGATGAGATGAGCAATTTTCTTGCATGCATGAAGCCATGTAGATGGTTGCCTGATTATGCAAGGTTACTTTGAACATGAAGTTTATGATCTCTGTTTTGATCTCTGTGCCGAAATCTGTCTTTCATGTGGAGGAATGTAAGGAATTACAGTGTCCCAGAGCTTTAAGCTCATGAGGACACCCCCTTGACCCTGGCCAGCTACAGTCACGGATGCCTCAAAGCACCGAATCGCATCATCGCTTAGTACAGAACTGCTGGGAAGTGAGAAGAACTGGCTTCCCAGGCTGGCAACGTGGCTTCCGCTGAGCATCCACAGTGGACATGCTCTGGGATTGCTAGTGTTCTGTGAGGAGTGGTGATCACCAAGCAGTGAAGGGATGAAAGGAAGTTCCCTGAGCTTTCTTCCCCTGTTTTCCTGGCAAGATTCAAGAACTAAAGATCAAGTAAAGTTCACGGCTGCCTCTGCTTGGATGAGTTTATCTTTAATGTGAGGCGTGGCCAAAAGTTTTTATTAAGATTTGCTAGTGCACTAAAGTGTGGAAGACAGCCTTTAGTTTGTACTTGGCAGATCCTTGATCTCCACATGCATCCTGTACCAGGGAAGCAGGGCACCCTTGGTGGAGGTGACCAGGTGATGACTGAAGCTACTGTCTGTTGAGCTGGGGTCAGCACAGGGTTCAGCACAGATTTAAAAAATGTAGTCTTCCATTGGTGCCATAAGAACTATATTAATAATATCGCACTTTAAATACAGGAAAAATATGAATAACTCATTAGACTTCAAAATGGTGGAAGAGACAAGGTTTGAACTCTGGAAGTTCTGGCATAAAACTAGTTCTGTAGCCTCGTGTAATGTGTGTCTTTTGAAATAAAACGTGGTGCTTAGCCTTCAAAGCATCTCCACTTTCTTTTCCCATAAGATTATCTTTCCCAGATTCTTTGATCTCACTTGGAATCCTTCTTATGTGGAAAAAAATTATATAACTTTCATAAACTTTTCAGACCTCATTCCAGGCTGAGGATTGGAGGCTTCTTTATCTGTATAGATTTTTGAGACTTAAGAGGGTTAGGGCATTATTGCCCAGGCAGGCTAGCTGAAAGAGCAATATAGTAGAAATTAAATAAAGCAGGACTTCAGGTTAGACCTTCCAGCCAACCCTGCCTATACCCTCGCCCCACTATCCACCCACCCTACCAAGGTCAATGAGGGAACAGGAAGACCTATGTTTGGCAACTGTAGGCAGCCTCATCGACTTGTCAGTGTCTTCAGGAGAAGGATGGCATAAGCTCCCCATTTATCATTTGTTAATTGTCATATTAACAAATTGGCAAGATGTTTTCTGTTATGTAGTCTGTCGTAGGTGCTTTCTACGTAACGATGCCCAGAGTAAGAGAAATGAACAAATGTTTCAGTATTCTATAACTGGTAGCTAGAATCCAAACCAAGGTCTGTTCAACTTCTGTTACCTATGCCTTAGTCAAGACCTTACTCTTAGTTTTAGACACACATGCAGGTACACATGCACACAAGTACTCATCTGAACTTAAAACCATCAAGAGGTCTCAGTCCTTACTGAATTATTATCCATTGTTGGTCAGCTACAGTCTTCCCTTTTTATCAAATATCCTTCCACATTTTTCCTTCTGGGAGTGTTCTACTATTGGGAAATCACCAGGAAATACAAAGGAAATATATGTCTAGAGATCCATTCATCAGAATTGAAAATTTGGTGACATAATATTAAGATGTTTCATCTTATTTTGATTTCATCTCACCTCTATTATCCTATATGATTATAGAATCTGCCATTTAAATTTCTCATTTTTAGTGTTTGTTGAATGTAACACTTCTGTGCAATTATCCTTTTTTTTGCTTCCTGGGTATTATTGATGATATAATTATTAATGCAGGTTATCATTTAGCAATCTTGATGTGCCTATGAAATGGTTATTTTTAATTTCTCCTGGCTTGCTTTGTAAAAATGATTGTCCACTATTACTGTATATTACACTTCAATCTAAAATTAATTTTTGGTAGAATTCATTATTCATAGATATTGTAACACAATAGCTTAGGCTGGCCTTGACCTCATATATGCATGGCAATCCTCCTGCCTCAGCCTCTTCAATGCTCAGAGAACAAGCATGAGCTACCATACCCTGGGTAGCTCTCAGTTTTAAAAGCATTGTTTTTCTTCTTTTTAGAACTTTCTGTTTTGGTGAATGATTCTAGTGTAATTAAAATTTTTAAACATTGACCTTCTGATAGGATTCATAAACAAAATTCTATAAAATATACCCTCTACCTCAACAATTCTGTCAGGTTTCATTATGGAGTTCCATAATGGGATTTATATTGATACTTACTATTGTGAAGGAAATGAAAACATCACAAACATTTGTATCATATTGAATCTGACCAAAAATCAATTTTACAGCTTTTCTTATGTGTACTGTTTTCTCCCAATTGATGTGTGTGTGTGTGTGTGTGTGTGTGTGTGTAAAACATCTTCATACCCCTAATAATTTTCTTGCTGACATCCATCCATGCCATTCTGTGTTGTAGATTGGGTAAAATCTGTTAATATAAGTTCAGAGAATGCATGTAAGGCTCAAGGCACAATGTTCCTTTGTTATGGTAGTAGAAGTACATTAGGAAAAAAATTTTAGTTAAGCCCAGGTAAGGACACTTTGCTTTACTCAGATTTAAAAAAAAAATGAGCATTGGAGGCTGGAGAGAAGATGATTGACTGGTAAAGAGCACTGACTGCTCTTCCCAAGGATGTGGGTTCAATTCCCAGCACCCACATAGCTCACAACTGTCAGTAACTCCAGTTCCAGGGGAATTGATACCCTTGCATAGACATGCATGCAGGCAAAATACCAATGCACATGGAATAAAAATGAATTTTAAAAAAGTGACCACTGAAGAAACCCAGGTAGTCTCCCATGAATCAACTGTTCTTTCCTCTATCTCTTTCCTTCTTGGAGCATTAGAAATGTAACAATAAATGAAAAGACATCCTCACATATTAAAGGAAAACAGATGCTTTGATAATGAATCAGAGACATAAATTAGATCATTTACTAGTCTTATTTATTTACTTTAGGAAAATGTGCATAAAGAGTTGTCAGTAACCTAAGCACTCACATACTAAAAGAAATGAAGGCCTGTGTTTGAGCACAGGTGGCTTGAGTGTGATGTGTCTACCGCTCTGTGGTCACTGCTGGGTATTACAGCCTGCTGGCTGCCCTCCTACCCACTTCATCATTCAGTTCCTTTTCCTTTTTACTCTTATCAGAGCTCAAGATTAAAATTCGTTCTGATAGAATTGCTAATCCTTTTTAGAGAAAACATTTGACAGCTTAGAGAAATGTGTATTTTCCCCCCTGAGATCTGGCCATTCCTGTGCCTGTGACTAACCAGTAACAACTGGAGGCAGTTGTGGTCCATTTTAGGATTCACTAGTTCTCTAATGGTAGCCATAGGGTCCGAGGCAGAGCAGCATCGGGGAATTGCCATAAGATGGCTCTAGAAGTGCAGTGGTTTCAAAAGTCTACCCTTGAAGGAATACAATGGCCTCCCACACATGGATTTGCTGGCTGACCTTAATTACGTTTCCGTTTTAGTATTTGAGCTTTGAAAAGTGCTTTAGTTACTTGAATTTCTTTTCAAATCCAAGGTTGATGCTTCACGGGTCTGCAGGAAAACAATGTGTATGCCCGAATTAGAACTTCTCATTGTTAAAACACGCCATGTTGTTGTGAAGAATATTTTACTAAATAATGCATAAAAATATTAATTGAGTTTTCAAGGATGTGCATTAATCCATATGTGTAATTAATTGCTTCCAGGTGCTATGTGCTCCTCTCAAACCATATTCTCATTAGTTTGTAACTTAATAGTCCCAAGAAGAAAAGGGACAGCCATTAGATGTTTATTTTACTGAAAGAGGTATTTGCACACAAGCTGGTACATCTTTTGGCAACAAATAGTAAAGAGAAAACCAACAGACTGTTACAAAAGAATCTTGGTTCCAGAGTGAGGCAATTTGCTACCTCTGCTTGTACCTCATAGCCCACACAAACATCTGGATTGCATAGTCCAGTGCTTTTAAGGGCAGAGGGAAGCTGAAACAGTTTCTTCTTAAAAAAGTATTGTTGAGGCATTGTATGCCCATTATTTAAAAAGAAGAAAAAATGAAATTAATTTTAAAGTTCTTCTCATCTGCATTAAGTTCTAATACAAGGATTAGAATTTTATCAATCCAATTAAATGCACTAATTTGGCATTGCCCTACTGTTACATGCTGTATTTTAGTTTTGAATTCAGCCTTCTTTTAAATTATTCCTCTCCCTAAATATCTTCCCTGTTGTTTTAAACCTGTTTCTGTTGTTTTCCTTTCCAGTTTATTTCCATGCCCGTTCTCTATGGCGTGTTCCTGTATATGGGGGTGGCCTCACTTAACGGTGTGCAGGTAAGCTTCCACAGCAGTCAGAGCAAGCTATGCATTGCTCAGAGAAGGATAGTCCCGGATCCTTGAAGGCACCAATCATTACCACTAACTCTTTAAAATACGTCTACTTTCCAATTCCTCAATCTTTTATCTGCTTTTCATTTCTGATGTAATCAACAAAACTAGCTGTTGTTTTCCTGAATGCTCATTACTGAAAGGGGTTGCATAATGTCGTCTGAAGAGGAAATGAGCTCTGTGCTACTGTCCCTACCACCACCACCATTAACCCCCCACCACCACCATCTCCCCTCTTCCTCTCCCTCCCCCTTCCTTCTCTTCACCTTCCTTTTTCTAATATTGTTTCCTCATCTCTCTCTTCACCTTTTTCCCCTCTCAAGATGGATATTTGGGCGCTTACCTTAACCCTCACAGACAGCAGGCAATTCTGCATTGCACACTTCTGAGCTCAGTGGTCAAAAGTTTTGCAACAATAAACAATTAAAATTAATGTGTATTAGGTCTTGCTTTCATCAAAAATTTCAACTATTCACAGCTTCAGTTAAAATGACCATCCCTGCCCTTACCAATGTTCCTGCCAATGACCCTGCTCTTGCCCCTGCCAATGACCCTGCTTCTGCCCCTAGTCCACTTTTTAAAAAACTTGCTAGGGAAAACTTTGTAAGGGCCTTTGTCTCTCGATAATTTAATTGGCACCAGGAAACTGGAAGTTCCGCCGCTTTCTGGCACCCTGTTAATTGTAGCCTTATTTAGCACTCAGTAATGTTTTAATGGGAAAAGACTTCGTGTTCTGTGAACATCATAAGAATTCATTTGAACTCCTTCAAAACAGCCCTTGCTTTCATTTATTGCATTTATATTAACTTGGTTTTAAAGTCAGATAGATCTGGGCAAATGGCCAGACCCCCCAAAAGCAAAGCAAAGCTACTTTACTATTCCTGGTTTTGATCCAGTAGAAGAGTTCTTCCGCACTGGGATAGTTGTTATGAAACACAAAGTAGTTCTTCATAGGCTGTGCTAGGTGAATGGCGACATGAGTTTATTTGTGCCAACAAAGTGCTTAAGAAGTATAACTTTGTAAAATATTTTATTTTTGTCTGCCATTATAAATACTCTTTCTTCTCCAAATGAGAAAATATGAACATTAGATGCCTAGAAAATAATAGTTTTTACTTTTTGTTTGCCCTTAAGGATCCAATCTAAATCAGAGATTTGTTTCAGGGTACTCCAGGGGCTTTAACAATGGCTAGAACTGAGTACCTATCTATAAAGAGAAGAAAAGAGCCAACCATCTCATAATGATGGGTGTGGGGAGTATTGTGGGAACAGCTAGTGAACCTTATAACTCCTAGCCTGTTGTTATTGTCCCAAATGCCTCTCCACTGTTCCTTAGTTTTCTCTTGATTCTTCCTCTTTTAGATCCTTTTGATGAGGTTGGTTTAGCCAAAAAAAGAAAATGATATCTAATCTTTACAGTTAAGAAAATTTGGTTTCTAAAGGGAGAAAAATAAAAAAACCTTCAACTAGGCAGTGGCTCTGAAGAAAGTTGTTTTAGTGCCACCTACTTTCCTTCCTTATGACAAAACATTATTTCTGAATTCTTTTTTATTTAAATCAAAAACAATTTTATTTAAATTAAAAACAATATTTTACATATCATTCCCAGTTCCCTCTCCCTCCCATTCTCCCATGTCCCCCACTGCCCCCCCCCACTCCCCATCCACTTCCCAGGGAGAGTGAGGCCACCCATGGGGGATCATCAAAGTCTGTCACATCATTTGGGGCAGGGACTAGGCCCTCCCCCATATATCTAAGCTGAGAAAGTATGCCTCCATAGGGAATGGGCTCCCAAAGTCCATTAGTGCACTAGGAATACGTGCACTAGGAATAAATACTGGTTCCACTGCAAGAGGCCCCATAGACTGCCCAGGCCTCCTGTCACCCAAGTCTTATAAATTAGTTCAGGAGCTGTCCACACATCATCCCTTCCTGAAAGCCCCTGTGATACATTTCTAAACATCATCTTGTCTGACACCATCAGTGTCACCTCAGCACATTATCTGTGAGGTTTACTTGGCACAAGCATGCACAATCATGCTTGCAATTCTTGGTCATACATGGCAGAGCTAATGTCTCTTAGGCTCTTGTGTCTGCTGTCAGTGTCTTGAAACTGTATGCATATGGAGCTTTTCTCTGAAGATAAACAGTGATACACTGGGAGATATGGATATGCCCATCAAATTATAATCTCGAAAAAGCAAGTGGGATTTGTTGGCACACTCTGTGCATTCCCATTTGAACTTAGATCCTTTAAAAGATCTCTGAGGTGCTTACAATGTGGGGTATCATCTTCATTCAGATAAGACAACTGAGGCAGGTGCAGATGTGTAAGTTAGATGTCTTCCTTCATTACATCATACCACAATAGGTTCGGAATCCTCTGTGTTGAGAAGCAGAGAGTAGTGATGGAAGGTAGAGGATGAACAGCTAGAATTGTTTGCTTTGGAACTTTGTCCTTTGTTCCCACTTTATCTTACATACCTGATAACATCTCTGCAAAAGAAAAATTGATCAGCAAACTTAGAAGACTGGTAACATGATCTGACTGTGCTAATGTAAGTCCCCTACTCCCTAATCTGAGCTTTGTCCTTTGAAGAGGGCATTGCTTGCCTGAAATACACAATGTAAATCACTCGTGGCTGGTTAAGCACAGTGGAAATGACTCAGTTGGTTCTTCAAATAACACATTGGATTTTCTTCCACATTTCTTCAAATAACACATTGGATTTTCTTCCACATTCCTCCCCAGTTCATGGACCGTCTCAAGCTGCTTCTGATGCCCCTGAAGCATCAGCCTGACTTCATCTACCTGCGCCACGTCCCCCTGCGTCGAGTTCATCTCTTCACCTTCCTGCAGGTGTTGTGCCTGGCTCTGCTCTGGATCCTCAAGTCAACAGTGGCTGCTATTATTTTCCCAGTCATGGTAGGTTTTCCTAATTGAAACTATTCACGACTGTGTGTATACCACACAGTTACTGTGACATGGAAAACCCAGACCATGTGTGTGGCTAGTCTTTCACTGTCTTTCTAGCTTTCAATTGGTCGTGTTGGCTAGTTATAACTTTAAGTTTCCCATGGCAACAGCTGGGGGCATGCACCTTAGAAACATGCCCTTCTGAGTTAAAATACTGGCTCAAGTTCCTGCTGGTCAGCAAGCATACTTGAGCCACCATGAACTCATCAGTGGGAGGGTAGCGTTGTTATTGTTCTGAGCATTGATAATGAATGCCAAGTGTATAACACAATGTCTGGCAAGCAGTAGACACCAGGACGAATGATTTTTAAGGTATTATATAACAGAACCAATCTTAATAAGAATAAAGTATACTTCAGGCCAAATAGTAGAAGCATTTGTAGACTTGTGAGAAAAGACAGGGCTCATTAGACAAAATAGAGTATTTAGATTTAGGTGGTTTTCATTATTTTAAGGATAAGGCTGGACTCTAGTCTCCCTTAATAGTCATCAAGGCGAAGCAAGTAACTGCCCCTCTGAATGAAAAGGCAAAGAGGAAATGCAAGTTCTAGGTCTTGCCTCCTTACTGAATTCTACACTTTATTGTAATTCTATTTCTCAAAAGAAACTGCACACATACACATATGTTGTGTGACAAAACTTCTCCTAGGGAGATGTAACACACATGTTTACTCACCCCAGATAGGGAACCCACAACAGATCAGAGTATGGATGCCACCTGAAAGTAAAAGGATTATCTCAGGACACCCCAAGGCCAAGTTCTCAGAACAAAGGAGATTTATTTGCCTCAGAGGGACAAAGGGTAGGGATTAAGGGACAAAGATGAGAGATAGAGGATGAGGGAGAAGGGGAGAGGAACAAGGAAGCAAGGATATTTGTCCCTGAGGAGAACAAAGGACTGCCTCTGGATAGAGAGGAGACCAATGTGGCTCATAGGCAAATGGAAGTTTTTAAAGGTAAAAGGAGAAACCCCATGTTAGGATGAGGTGTTTAATTTTAATTGGGCATGTTAATTAGGTGAGGCAAAGGTGGCTTTTGATTGCTAGATTTCAATACTTTGATAGCTGGACCTTGGTAGTCAGCCTCAGGAGGAGGAAGTGGCCAAATAAGGACCTTAATGGCTAGCTTTAGGAATGTAATCAAACAGCTTTTAGCAAGGCAGAGGGAAGGGGAGAGAAGCCCAAGGCCTGGCAGAGCCATGCTCCAGTGGGCTAGTGCCTTTCATTACCAGAGTTCAATTTAGTGAACCAATGAGTTTTATTGGGGTTACTTACAGGAATATGAGTGAGGGGTTACTAACAGGAATGGAAGACTCAAGGACAGCTGCATCACCAGGGCCCACTCCAGCAATGGTGACAGCTTACAAAGCTGAGAACTTGGAGCATATGGTACAGCCTGCAGGAAGCTAAACTGGTTCGAGGGTGTCCTTTCTGTGCCCCTCTGTTGGTCTGAAGCTCTTCCAGGAAGGTGGTCTGGTCAGAGAGTATTCATTGCAGCTTAGGTCTTTTAGGTCTGTAAGCTTTTATTGCTTACTCTGACTGGGGGTGGGGTGGGGAGAGGACTGGAGGGGATTAGTGAATCTGGTCAGTTTCAGGAACTTCCTGAAGGTATTTTGAGTTGTTTACATTCTGTTTAAGGATCTTTCCTGCAGGATATAGTGTTTCAATCATTGGAGGAAATGGATACATAACAACACATAAGACTAATTTCAAAACTATCATCTCAGCTCTGTTCCATTATCCCTATCATTCTGGAAACCATTTCTTTACCATATACTTAGCACATTTTGTTTTGAAAGTCATCTTACTCCTAATGGGGATTGTTATTTTGTTATGTATGTATTTTCTGTTTATAATTGTATTTCTTTTTGCTCCCAGGGACATAGGAAAAATAGGTTAAAATATTACTGACCTTTTC